AAAAAAAAAAAAAAAAAAAAAAAACGAAGAAAGATAGAAGAGGAAAAAAACAGAACAAGATAATCAACTGATTTCATCAATAAACAACATATTTTGTTAGACAATCTAATTGTTTTACTACTAAACCATCAAAAAGACATCTTAATTACAATTACCTAAAAGTAACTAATATCTGTAAAAAAATTCTACACTATCACTGCTGAAATTAATAATCTGAAAAAATCTAAGATTAAAATTTTAAGCCAAGAGACGGTAATCAGTCGACCAGTTAACCGCAGCTGAAGCAAGTGTTAGCTGAAGACAAAAAGCCGTTTTCTAACAACCATTAAAACAATCTCAAAAACTGTTTCAAATCTGTTGTATATAAAGAAATCTGTTGTATATACATAAAGAATTATATACAAAAATAAAAATTTACTGTTTAACGACAGCAAAAAAAAAATACTTTGTAAAACTGTGGTCCTGAACAACAATAATATCTGCAAAAAAAAAAAAAAAACTAGTTTTCTTATGAGAAGAAGACTGCAGAATTGTACAGAATCCGACTTTTTATTGAATGAGGTTGAAAATTTTCGTGGTTTTCTTTCTACCCTCTTACTGCAAAGATATCAGGTTTTATATCGCAAATCCGCTGAGAAGTACAGTTTTATTAGCATTCACGGTGCAGCTATCAACTGGAAGAAAAGCAGTCACATTTTACGGCGTCTGCAAAACGTACAGATATAGTAGTAAGTATTTCTGACAACATTTTATTTTGCTGCAAATACTTCTGTTTTTTTTTCACACTATTTTTATTTTTTGACAAATTGAACAGAGGAACTAATATCCAACCGATATCTGATGTTTAATCCTTAAATGCATGAACAGTGTTTTTTCTTTGAAAAAGAAACAGCATAATAATTGAATTTTTTCTTTGCAAGCCAAAAAAAAGTTTTTAAAAATTACTATATTTAAGTGTTTAGGAATAAGTATGTACATATAAAAGGTGAAAAGAAGAAAGAAGAAAAAAACGAAAACAGAAGGAAACTGCCAGTCACCGTAACTGTTTTTTCTTTTTTTCAGAATAATACCTATTCTACAATTGACTATCGCCTCGCTGTTCCTTG